TCCGGCGTGGGTGTAGCGTTGCCAGCCAAAAGCGCGCGCTAACGCTACGCACAAACTTCTGCACACCGTTTTAATTATAGATTGGTTAAATGCCAGCTAATGTTTGTCTACAGTTCGAATGAAAATGTTTCTACGTTTTATTTGAATTAAGAATGTTTTTGATTCGCTAATGTAAAATTAATGATGCTTCTAACGAGCATTGTAATTATCTTTGTACCGTCAAGAAAAGTTAAAGTCTAAAAGTAACTCGCCTCGGAGGAAATGATATAATAGTAAAGTTTATTTTATGCTAACCTCGGTGAGCAATGTACTAACCTTGTTATTTTATGTGCTTTTTCATGTAACATTTTCTTAGTATTTATACGAAATATTACGAAGGAGTTTTGCTTGTCATGTATTCCAGGTACTCCTACGGCGAACCTATTCCTTACCGCTTCAGCAACGACGCGTACGTAGCAAAACTTCTACTACCCCTCCGCAGCGTGGCCGACAGCATCCACAACATTTCCTACTACAATGAGCCAGCTAAGAAGTTCACAGGTACCGGCGCAGGTTCGACTAACTACAATACGATATCTAACAGACTAAATGTTAATGTACGGTTTTCCCACTTCCGTATGTGTCCGGACTAACAGCTAGAACCAGCTTGCCCCTGTAACCTCGAGGTGTTCCCCAGGACGTGGTCACCTCGCGTGCGTGCACTACTCGGGCAATAGGGCCTTCACCAACCGCCGGCCGCTCTACAAGGAGCTCAGCATCAGAGACGATGTAAACCTGCTATCGTTTTATGCGAAGAATAGGCTCGCAGCTGCCGGTTTGGAGGGCGAAAAAGCCACAGGTATTTTGGACAGTAGTATCATAGCTAGAGCTCGCTTCGCCCTACGCATAATTCTATTAAAGATAATTTAAAATAACGAGGGCCTTGTAAGTAAACTGAATATTAAAAACCATGTAAATAGCAACATCTTAGCAATCTTTTATAGAAGTCACGTAATGAAAGTACGTTTTCATTTTAAATTCATTATTTTTGTCACTTGTTTTAGTTAACTGAACATAAGTTGTTATTCTGTGATTAATCTGTAGAAAAGACATACATTTTAATAGAATGTTAGAATTCCTTAATTTTTAGTACAAGACTATTATAATTAAAGGAATAAAACCTGTGAAAATTCTAGGTATGAATTAGAAAATCCTTGAGAATCCACACGTAGCTCTACCTACATAGTTTAGAGTTGTTAGTTAATAAAATTATCCCCAGATTATAAAGAATTGGCATTCCAAAAAAATTACACTAATATTTTTTCTTATTCCTTAAAGTCTGTTACAGTGGTTTACTTATTTGGCCGTAGAATCGTCTAAAATTCGCTTCTTCGCTCCGAAGCTATCGGTGCATAAAACGAGCAGTAATAAAAATCAAATGGTATAAACGGTATCTAACACTGCGTGTGGTGTCTCTTACAGCGGGCGGCGCGCAGCAACAGCCGTCGGCGGCGCAGTGCGCGTAGCTCGGCCGCGAACTCGACCCGCGTAGCTAGGGAGAGGGCACATCACTAGGGCTCGCTCACATCACTTTGCTCCATGCTATTTATTGTCTATGGCTCTTTAAATCCCTGTCATGATTTCATTTTTTTTAAATAGATAAATTAAAGTTTTATAATACAAATAACAATCCTATAAATCATGAAATGAAAACACAAATTAAAAAAAATAATAATGTGTAAATTTCATAGCATAACTTAGAGTTCTTTTGCAACCATAATAAATGACATGGACATCTTAGCTTATATTTGGTTAAAATCGGCCCATTGTCTGCTCTGAGCCCCTAGCTACGCCTAGAGACCGACTTCGCGCTCTCTGATCTCGGTATAACACCCTCCGACTAACACAGATCATATATTTTTTATCATTTTATCAATTGCTATATTTTTTTTAATATTTACGAACGACAACATTTGTTAAAAATGAATGTTGTGAGAACGCGGTCTGTCCGCCACTTTACCGGTAATCGAGACGTCTCGTTTTCCATTTAACAGAACTGATTTTAACAATAAATATTTTGTCACATTTTTAGTTGTTTTAATTTGTTTGCATGTTGTAGTAGTTTAGATTTGTACCCTTTTCATGCTTGAAATTCCATGCTTGTTAATGCTATGCTGTCTAGACTAAACATTTTAATTGATTATAGTAAATATTTATAATATTATGGTATAATACGAGAACAATTGTACATAAGAAGAGGACTAGTGTAAAAATGCTTGAATCACCACCACAACGTTGCAGTAATATGAAAGACAGTAGTATATATCGTACAGTTTGGGAACCACATCATGCAAGTTGCCTGTGTGTGCACGGTACACAAAACGCCAGCGTATGCCAACATCATTCACGCTCCACAGCATGAAACACTTAGAAGGAGAAAAATCAAAGCAAAACTTGTATTTAAAAAATTTCATCGAGCTTTAGAAGCTGTGATTACGGCTAACTTCATTCATGAGCGACTAGTGTGTCATACGCTAACTGAATCAATGATATTTGGCATAAATAACCCAGAAATGTCTAGCTTTGTGAGAGGCAGAAGCTAATCATTTCTTGAAAGGTCATTGCTATAGTAGCCACTTTAACATTGGCCGCGGTGCAGTGAAGCTGCTGCCGTGGAGGCCAAGCCGCAAGTTCCAGGCGCCATCGATGATGGAGGACCCCGGGTTAGAGCTGAAAGCAGCAAAGGCAGAGCGCGCGGCTCGCTTCAGGGCTACTACAGCGGAGCCGGTCCTTGCACCAGCAGCGGATTTGGCCGAAATCAAAAGGAAAAGGCAGGAAGAGGCTCGTGCCGCTGAAGAAAAGTGAGTATAATTTGTTTAATCTATATGTGACTTTTTAACATATTTCTTTGTAAGATTGTAAATAATAAAGTGTGACTATTTTTAAAGGGCTCTGAAAGAAGAGGCAAAACGTGAATTAGAACGCAAGGCTCAGGTAAAATGATAACAATTATTAATGATTTGATGGAAATCCGGATTATCAAAAAATAAAAAAAAATATTTCGTACAGGCGGAAAGAGAGGCCGCTGAAAAAAAGAGAGCGGAGGAAGAAGCCCGAAAAGCTGAAGAAGCCAAACGCAAAGCTGAAGAAGAAGCTAGAATAGCCGAAGAAGAAGCAAGAAAAGCGGAAGAGGCTAGGAAAGCCGCAGAAGAAGCCAAACGAGCGGAAGAAGCTAGATTAGCAGAAGAAGCTAGAAAAGCCGAAGAAGCAAGACTGGCAGAGGAGGCAAGGCTGGCAGAAGAAGCTCGCCTTGCAGAAGAAGCACGATTGGCTGAAGAAGCCAGACTGGCCGAAGAGGCACGATTAGCTGAGGAAGCAAGACTCGCTGAAGAAGCCAGATTGGCAGAGGAAGCGAAACTAGCTGAAGAAGCTAGGTTGGCTGAAGAGGAACGGCTAGCTGAACAGAGAAGACAAGAGGAACTGGTGCGCTTAGAAGAATTTGAGAGACAAGCACAAGAAGAACGTGAAGCAGAATTAGCAAGACAGGTAATGTTGTTTGTAAATTAAATTCATCAATCGATATAATCGAAATTTAAAAGATTGCAGCGTGCAAATTGGAATATAACATAATAAAAAGATAAATCAATGTTAACAGGCTGCAGAGTTGGCTGAAATTGCTAGACAAGAATCTGAGTTGGCTGCCCAGCGTCTGGAAGAATTATCACACAGTGCCTCTAGTGACAATGTTACTGAGGTTGAAGCAAGGTAATGTCTATAACTGAATTATTTTAAAAGCCACATAATGAAGGAGTCTTAATACGCAATTTCTTTTCCAGGAATATATGTGGTTTCTATAGATAAGTGTGTATTTTGAAAAAAACAATCTTACTGTTTTCTTACAGCGATATACCTGAAGTGGAAACACAACCGATCGTAGAGGAGCCAGAGAGTCCGGAGATCATAGCTGATGCAGTGCCGGAACAAACCGACGCGGCGGCGGAAGTCAGTGAAGATGAACAAGCTGAGCCCGATGTTACGGACGAAGAATAAACCGTCTATCACTTAAATTTGTAATTTATTTAAAGCGAGTTACGTAAGAATGGTATTAATCTTGTTTTGAGTGACTGAAATATAAATATTTATTTGAAAAAAAAAAACAAAAAATGTCTTTGTGTAATTAATACGATTGTAAAATCAACTCTACAAAAATTGTTCCGAGTCGAATATTCTATTTTAACCAAATTGTGGTTCTAGAATATAAATATTCTAACGTGTAATTGTTAATTTTTTATGTAATTATAGCATTCTTCTTGTGCGCATTTTGTTTTTTAGGATTTGAAATACATATTAATTTTTATAGATTTTTGGATGACTATTCATGACTCATGTATTAGCAATATACCTGAGTGGTGTTATAATTATTGTTTGCTATCTACTCTTGAGTTGTTAACTTTCCTGTCAGTAATTAAATTACGAGACCGTGAGAGTAATGTTTTATATCAAGAAACCTTTTAAAATATGGTTAACAAATAATTTCGTTTTATTTTGTAATGTTTTGTATCAAAAGTTTATTAACAATAAAAGACATATTAAAATATTGTAGTTTTTTTTTATAAAATGAGCGTCACAGCTTTTTAAGGTATAAGATTTTGCATTCTGTGTTCAGAGGACCGACGACTACAGTGCATTTGTAACGATAAATTATTATAACTTATAATTTGAAGTGTTTCCGATCGGTCGACCGAAGAAACAATGCAAATAAGTTAGGTTTGGTGCGTATCTAATTACCTCTGCGTACAATACTATAAATATAATTAGATAACAGAGAAAGCGGCTCTCAACTTCGCGGAAGTCACTGCGAAGAAATTTTTGTGCTCAGAAGCAAATTGAAATTCGGTGCTTCGATGAATCTTTGTTATCTATAGTAGTTTTGTCTATGGTGCGAAAATGACAGTTCATCATTATTAAAAAATTATGTTTTGTCTATAATTTTTATAACCTAAAATTCAAACTTAGAAGATATAAACATTGTTTTATTGGTTAATTTTGCTGTTTAAAATATTGAAATATGGGGAAAAAAGATAAAAAAACATCAAAAGCAAACGTATTTAAGGTAGCAGGAGCAAAAAGCTTAAAGAAAACTAAAGCGAAGGCAGTAAATCTGGGATTAAAAAATGTAAGTTTAATATATCGAGTTCTTCATATGAATATAAAGATATCACAACGCAATAATTTCAAACATAGAGTTATAAGTGTTATCCTTACAGATTAAACAAAAAATAGGCGAAATAGATAAACAATTTCTTGATATTAAGAAAAATGTGGATTCAAATAAAACGCAGCCCAAAAATAATGTAAAAGCATTACAAAAACAAACTGTGAAGAATGTAACTAAAGAGGAGGTTGCAAAAACTGCTGAAGATATTGTTAAAATGGATTTATAAAGTTAGCTCTAATATTTATTGTAAGATATAAATTTTTATACTGTTATTTCTTTTTTTTTCATTTTAAACTTAACCTCCTTATTGAATATGGTCCGAAATGTCTGAATGGCAAAAAATACTCATGATTTATGCTAGCACATTTTTGAATTGCCTTAGCTTATCCAATTTTAATCTTGTCCTTAACCAAAAAAGGGAAATATAAAAAATCATTTTTAATGTAATATTATCACAGTTGGAATGTTTATTAAAATCTAATTTTACAAAATAAACAGTTTTAAACAAACACATAAGTCAGATCCACTCCGTAATGGTTACCCTGAAGTTAATTCTTGTACCTCACAAGCAGTATTAATTAAGTAACTCCATTCCAATGTTAAATTCACTCCATAAGGTATCAATATAAGAACACTAGCTTTATTTTCATAACTTAACTAATTATAAAAGTTTAATACAAAGATAAATAATATAAATACATGTTATTACAAATATATTTTTTTCGTAACTCAATTAGTTGTGTATTTTATGAAATAATTCTTAAAAATTAAGAACAATTATTATTAACAAGTATTAATAGATTATACAGTGGATACAAAGGAAATACACACAAATATACACAATACTAAATATACAATTATCTTATATTAATTCTTAAAGTATATTAAAAAAACACTAATTATTTCTTCTTCTCTTAACATAAGTAATAAGTAATCTGCCTTTAACATCTCACATGCTGTCACAATTATTTTTGTATTAAAACAAACTCACCAGATGGTTTGGGGGTGCTGAATATTTTGAAAAATCAATCTTTATAATACTTTAATAAATCATACCTTTCAAGATATTCAAGGGCCTTTTCATCCCAGTTATTGTTGTTGACAGTACGTGGACTTGGGTGGGGAAGATATAGTACCTAAAAGGTTAAAGTTATTTTAATAAGAGCCATATTATTGGTTAATCTTACTAATATTATAGGTGCAAATGTATCTCCAGAGGGGCTGAATGGATCACACTAAAATTTGGCATAGATATAGAAAATAGCCTGAAAGAACACATAGGTTAGATTAATTTTATTTTAATTATGCATGGACGCAACACGTGACAGCTATTAGTACATACATCTGATCATTGGGGGTTTGATATGTAAGCAAATTATTTCAGTTATGCACTAATATTTTAGACAAGAACAAATAATTAATAGGCTAAAAATTACTTCACAAACATACCTTAATAGTTTTCCCTTTAGATGGTAGATATGCTTCAATTGCTTTGTGTGCACGAGTTTCACAAAACTTGCCAACAGCAATGATGGTTTGCACATTATAAAGTTCCAAAACTTTAATAAAGATTGGATCACAAATTTCATACAATGCTTTCATTTCAGTTACCTGCAAAGCAATGGACAGTGATTTTGTAAGAAACTCATCCAATTTTATAGTTATAAAATTTGGTGATTTTTTTAATATTAGCCATATTCTATTAAAAAATGATTACTTTGAAGTCACCAGGGGTAAGGTTGCAGCCGTTGGTCTTCATCCATTGCTGATTTAAATAGTTGTAGACAAAACTTGATTCAAAAAACTTCTCAGGAGTTCCACATATTTCTTTAAGTAAGCCCCAGAATCTTTTGCCACTTATCTGTAATTAGGTTTAAATATACAAAAAAACATAATGATGTATAAATGTTTAGTATACAAAATATTGTAAAAAGTGCTGACTGTAACTTTAAAGTATTAACTAATAGAAATTATTAATTTACCTCAGTTCTAGTACATTCAAAACCTCTAACAGGACGAGTTTCCAATTCTTTAGGAGGCTTTCCGACAGGCCCTTCTATACCCAACCATTCTCTCACAGAACTTACATCTCCAAAAGGTACCTGCATGAATTTTAAGGCCATTTTTCACTTCAAATAATACCATAGAGATCAAGAAAAATTATTTCAATAAATAAAGGTGTATTTAAATATTTTTCGACAAATTCCATCGTCACTGGTAAAGCCAAACAATATCTACAATCAAGATTTTTTTTTGGGCCCGCAACAAATTTAGTATTACTCCTATATATGTACAATAAATAAATGATAACTCATTTTACTTACGCCAGTTTGTGACATTCCAAAAGGTCCTGGATTCATTCCAAAAAACATTATAGATTTTTTTGTATTACAATATTTACGAACGTACATTTCAAAAGTATGTCTTGCGTATATCGTTGGATTATAAATGCATTTTATAGCTGCAGGAAATTGGAATATTTCAAGTTTGTTGTTTAGGTCATCAATCAAATGAAGGAACTCAGTACTTAAATCTTCGACTTCTTTGTTCTCATTTTCCAAAACTAGTGGTTTTTCGCAAAAGAAAGTGGAGACAACTTCTGTGGTCATGTTAATGAATACTTTTTAATACATCTGTATTATAAAAAGACAGTTAGTTCACTTTAAATTATTTCCTTGGATCGTAAACTGTTTATTATCCGCGCCATTTTCAAAGAAATAATAAAAGTGAATCAGAAATAATAATTTATGTCGAGAAAAGTAAAATAAATTCGATTCCCATTAACATGGAATCGATGCCACTGAACTCTGAACTAAAATCTATAAAAACAAACAAATGTTTACAAAATACAAGTGAACAAGTGTTTAATTTGAAATAGCGATGGCACGACAAAAGCGAATGTGATAAGCAGTGATAAGCTTATGCCAGGAAGTAAAAAGTCTTTGTGTTTCGTTTTTAGCTTCAACTTTTTTTTACTCGTGTTTTATTCGTTTAAACTAGAGTACTTTTTATAGCATTTAGCTTTTTTTAATAAATAACTTAATTTTTTACATTAAATTCAAAATTCATGGCTTAGCCTCGAAGAAAAACTTGTTACAGTATCCGATCCAATCCGATCGTAAATGTCAAACTTCAAGGCCACTTCAGATTCATGAAAGGCTTTCGATTAGCATTTTCAGAATTCAGGTTTTGAAATTAAATAATCGGAAACAAATTAAGATATTAATACATTTTTATGTATTTTTAAATCGATTGTTTGTGTCTAGTGAATATACCAAAAACAATTTACACGATTACACAAAATAAATCTATTTGGTGTCTTTTAAAAGTTTATAATACAAGTTTATATTAAACCGTCGTATAAAACGCCGCCAAAATTGCTTTCTACTCGAAATACAACGGGAATATTCCTGCCATGGCAAAGGTAAGTGAATAACAACTTGTTTTTATTCATATTTACATACCGGTTTTCTAGAATGCTAACTACAAATTATCGGCCACAGTTTTATTTGCCTTGTGATCTCGATTGATAAGGAAGCAGCATCCTAGCCAACATTTAATTATTACGTGAAAAATATAAATATCAAGTGATAATCATGAGTGACCAAGAAATAACACAAAAGGTATTATTTTGTTATAGCTTATAATATCCATTGAAATTTAAATTTATTGAAAATTAAAAGAATTCAAACCATAGTTACAGATTTAATTTTTAACAACTAGTTGAACCAGTTATAATTTATACAAGTTTTCTGGTTGTTTCCATTAATGTGTGTAAAATAATCTGTATTATCTTCAGTTTGTGTTACAATAAATGTCTATGAAATAAGCGTGTTAATTTGTCATTTATTTTTTAACAAAATTGCTTATGATTTTTTTCTCTTTTTGGCTCTTTTTTAATTTGTGATAAAATACATGCTACTTACAAAAGGATAATGACAAAAGCACATCAAACCACAATTAAAATATTGGTTCTTATATTTTTTTTATATTTTCTTGCCACATACATTCTAATAGTTTTCTTTGCAACTTTCCAGCCTGTACTATACTCATACTGGCGGAGTTCATGCTCATGGCGTGTGAGAATTGCTCTCAATTTGAAAGAGATTCCATATGACATCAAAGCAGTTAGCCTCATAAAAGGTGGTGGGGAGCAACACTGCAATGAATACAGGGAAGTCAATCCAATGGAACAAGTACCATCATTATCTATTGGTAGGTATACATATAAAACTAAATATATAACAGTAATTTTAAATAATAATAACCAGCTGTCTAATTAGAACTTTTAGTCTTAAGTAAAAATTTAGACAAACTTAATACTAATAAAAATTAAAATTATTAATAACAATTAATTAACATTTCACTTATTTATGATTTCAGATGGCCATACTATAATAGAATCTTTGAGTATAATGCACTATCTAGAAGAAACTCGTCCACAAAGGCCACTCATGCCTCAAGATTGTTACAAAAGGGCAAAAGTTAGAGAAATATGTGAGGTAAGTCAAATTACTACAGTACTTGACACATTGACAAAGTATTTGACACATTCCATGCCACTTTGATTTTCATGTGTCAAAGATATTTTCTACGTGAAATGCATTGAAAGTGTCAACCAAAAAGATATAAAAAAGATTGTTAATAGTAAATTAATTGCATAACCTTTATTATTTCAGGTTATTTCATCAGGTATACAGCCCCTACAAAATCTAATAGTTCTGATACATGTCGGAGAAGAGAAGAAGAAGGAATGGGCGCAGCATTGGATCATGCGGGGATTCAGAGCTGTGGAGAAACTGTTGTCTTCCTCAGCGGGGAAGTATTGTGTCGGAGATGAGATCACATTAGCTGATTGCTGTCTTGTGCCACAAGTATTTAATGCAAGAAGGTAATTCAAATGTTTATACAAATATTAATACATTTTTAATAACTTTATATATAAATAAGAACTCATAAGAAGTTGTTGGTCATTTGAATGTTAAAATTTTGCTGAGATATAGGTATTTACTATATGCTCTTGCCTTGTAATCATTTAACACCAATAAAACGTCAATTTTAAACGATGACTATGTCGTAAACCTTATAATGTTCAATACTTTCTAAGTTGCTAATACTTTTCAATGCTTGTTTTTCAGATTCCATGTAGACTTACGTCCTTTTCCAATAATTCTTCGCATTGATAGAGAACTAGAGAATCACCCGGCGTTCCGCGCTGCACACCCGTCTTCGCAGCCCGACTGTCCACCAGAGGTTGCTAAGTGAACAAAGCAACATGAAACCAACTCGAGCCCATTGAAATTACAAACAACATATAGACAAAGGAAATTGAAGTGTTGAGCCAATTCTATCTCAGGTAAAAAGAACGAACATGTCACAAAATTAAAAAAAAACTTATTTCCTGTAAGTTTCTATGATTTTTTAATAGGTTTTTCTATGTAAAAGTGCTTCCCAAATTTTGTAATAAGTTTAAAGAATTTTTGAATAACTTCCAAAATAGTTTTATATAAAATGGTATGTTAAGAGTTATTGATTTCTATAAAAAAATAGTTTTGAAGGCAGAAGCCTTTTCTAAAAAAAAACACTGACATCATATTACTTGATAGAAGTTTTTTTTTATCTTTCTCCACTAATTTTTCCAATGATGTACAATGAAATGCCCATCTAAATTAAAAAAACAAAGTGTTAGTTTTATCATAACCAAGAATGCTTTTTGCATTTCTACAATCAATAATCAACCAATACTCAACGAAAATACTAAAGCTTTAGTAAAACTTGAGATATATTTTTGAGATTTTTTTTCAGTTTTATCTTAAAACTAATTTTTAAGTGATACTGTATCCCTGGATATATTTTTTAGACATTATTTGTCTTTTCTATGTTATAATTTGGTCTAGTCTTAATATAATAGTATAAGGTAGATGATTTCTAAAATGGTTTTTGGGTTACAAGTAAATATTTTTACTTGTTTAGGGGTTTTCTGTATTTTAACTTTTTTTTGTGCCATTCCATTAGCTGTATGAACATTTATACAGTAGTGATAATTTTTACTATGTTAAACATAAATCTATTATACACTTTTATATTTTATGTTTGGAAATACAAATTTCTTGATTAAATTCTTGTTTTATTTAAATTTTAATAAAAAATCTCCATTTTCATACCTTTTCGTATACATAGGCTGTGTTATTTTAAAGAATATTTTTGGTTCTATAAGTTAACGTACAAGTTGATGATTAAACTTGTGCTCTAATTTCATACAAACTATAACCGTTAGTGGCATTGGACTAGGCCTATGTACAGCAGTGGCCATTTACAGACTTACTATAACATATCAACGCTACTTTAAAAGTTCCGTTGAATTTATACTCCAAAGTAATTTGATATTTTTTTAACCGATTTCAAAAAGGTTCTCGATGAGGTTTTTTTTATATAAATAACGAAATGCTATTTTAATTATCTGTGATTATTACCAAATTTTATTTTTAAATAGTCTTCACCGGGTTTTATGTTAATATTTATAATTCGGGGTGTGGCAACATTTCCGTGTCAAGTGTCAAATGTATCGAACGAACGCCCTGTGCCGTGCTGTTTATTCGTAGCTGATATTCTGAGTCCGATTCTAATGTGCACTGAGTATCGGTGCATTTATCTGCCGGTTCAATTTGTTCTCGTACAGCGGTATTTCTGATATGATTCTAGTGTTATGTTTAGTGATTAAATAACAATGGCAGTTAAAACCGTCAGTTAAGTGCTGTGAAAGTTGTACCTGGTTGTTCAGTGTCGATTTAAAATGACGGAGAAAAATAAATCCGAAAAGATGACGAACGCATCGAAACCTGTTCCCATGAAACTTTTTGCCGCCTGGGAAGTGGACAGGACGCCATCCAACTGTATTCCAAGGTAACTTTTGTTATTGTACACTCTTCGACCGGGATTATTTTGATTACTTTAGTCGTTAACGAATCGCATGAATACATTCTAGTCAGATTTTTGTTGTATGAAAAGTATCGTCTAGTTTAGACTTGCGTGTTGTCTAATCAAATAATATTCAATACAAGGACTAAATAAACTGCTCGACCGGCATTTCACGGCGGCATATTATCATGCATATTAAAATGTTTCTAATGTATCTATATTATTAATTCTCTCTTTCTTTAAATAATCTCATTTCTTGTTTACTTGCAACAAAATAAATATGTTTTAACATTAAATTTTATATTTTTTCATGGATATGAAAATATCCATTTATATTTGAAGTAAAACTAAAATGAATTATTGTGAACACAAGACAAATATGTATCATATAATTTAAATGATAATGTCAAACACAGATTATGTATAAATGTTAAACAAACTTGGAAACAATTATCTATTACATGTAGTCATATTCAGACATCAAATACATGCCATTTTTTTTTATATTCAATATCAGTAGTCCTGGCCAATTTGATAATTCAACTCATTAATTAATTTTTTGTTTAAGTACTATTAACATTTTTACATTGTTGAACTTTATTTGTAAACAAAAAATTGTTAATGGTTTGTTAAACTAACATCAACTGTTTTGTAAACAGAATTTTATTTATCACATATTAAATATAATTTAAATGAACATCATAATGTACAGCAGTTAAAAAGAATATTGGAAATTACCTTTTTTATTGCCTTTTTATATAGAAATAAAAAAAAATACATTTTACACCTCTCTATGCACCCAATATCATAATTGCAAAAAAAAAAATTGTGCTACTTTTAATAAATGTAATTTAAAAATAAAATTTCACAGCCACATTTATTATAACTGGCTGAAAAGAAGTCATAATATGTTATTATTGTTAGTATAAAATTAGGTTTATAGCTTATTATATATATAAAAAAAAAATCAATAGATTTAGCAAATTTGTAAAACAAAAGTTTTTAATAACTCTGTAGTTGAAACAATACAATTTTGTCTTTTATAGTCTATGTTGAATATGAATGAAAACAAAAGACGGTTCTTACCAATGTGACCTGGAAACGGAACACTTAACTCATCTGTTACTTATACTAGTGAACTAGTTATTGATATTCAACAGTTACTGTACAAATGTACTAATTACAATTAATATAGTAATATTTCTTTACTAGCTGTCGCCCGCGATTCCGTCCGTGCGGAATTTAAAAAAAAACATAATTAGTAGCCTATGTTTTCTGTCGAACTATGTTCTAGATCTATGCCAAATTCCGCCGAGATACGTTTAGCCGTTCTAGAGATACCTGCTTACAAACATTCGTGCATCCATCTAAACATTTGCATTTATAATATTAGTCAGATAAATTTATATTACGTCCATTTGTTATGTCATCTACATCTACATCTTTGGATGCATAAAAAATGCAAAATTACCTTAATTAGTACCTCATGTGTTCTTCCAGACTATGTTCTACATGTATGCCAAATTTCATCAAGATCTGTTAAGTCGTTCCGGAGATATCTTTAAACAAACATCCATCCAAACATTCGCATTTATGATATTAGTAAGATGGAACCCGAGCGAAATACGATACAATAAATTTGTTTGTTTAGTTTATAATAACCAATGTACATTGCGCACATTCTGATATTAAAATAGAGTAAAATTTACTCATCCCTCCATTTCGGTACAATGCTATGTTCATATGATGACATCAAAGGACGGGAAATACCGCGTAAACTACGCCCATGTCACACACAATTTGTGTATAATTATTTAGAGTGAAATCTCAAAAGGGTCTATTATCTAGGAAATGTTAATTGACAAATAGTTCCAAAGATGTTGGAAGGAAATTAGACATTTTGAGGTTCGTATGTCTGGTATTAAGACATATTTGTAATACGTAAGGAAAACTACTAAGTATTTAAGAAATAAGAGACGTAATTTTTGTGCCCATTAAATTAAGATAAGGGATTTCTTAAGTCGGAAATAAATGTGTCTGTGATTACTGAGATGCTGATAAACTACGGTATAGAGAATCAATAATTTACTTTAATTAGCTTTAACTACGTTATAAATTCGTCAATCCTTAGTTAATATTGAACTGATTCAATTCTTGTTACCAAGTAAATCACCCATTGTTCGCTTGTGGAATTTGTTTCTCACGTAAATATAACATCGACAATCGCACAACGTACTTGTGTTTGCACTCGTGTTTGCTTGCGCCCGCTGTTTACGTGATTTATGCCAGTGCAATGAAACAGATAGCTGGTTGTAACGGTTATCGTGCTTCCATTTATTGAATGTCACACTGTTTTATATCTCTGTATTGTCTACACAAACATTCATATTTTATTATGCCTATATTATTATGCGATATTGTTACGAGAGCATTCTTAGACATGGTTAAAACTTTGTGACTTTTTTCATAAATACTTTTCACACCAGAATTTTACTTAAATATAAATTGGTGTATAATGGAAATAGGTTCATAATAGCCAAATGTGATCGCATCTTTAGGTAACTATGTGAGGACTGAGATTCGGGTCGTGGGTGTTCACAGGATGTTCCCGATTAGTGAATCGTCACTGTTTGGTATCGCGCTTAACGCGGGGACGGTACGGAATTATTCAATTGAATTTATACGTGCTAAATATCTAGGGATGGTCGTTGTCTATTCACAGTGGGACTGGTACAAAATTCTTTAATGTAGAGACAATACGTGTAACTCAACAACAGTTGGTTTAAAGGAGAAGGTTGTGTGAGATTTCTATAGAATTAAAAACAAAAAAAAATATCTATATCTGTTAAAATATGCTATTTTCTTAAGAACGAGACTTTGTTTTCTTCGTATTTTTTTATCAACCAACGTTATATGTAACCGACAACTGTATCTATGTCGTATAGTTCGCGGCATATTGTTCTCGTTCCAGATCTTGTAGCTCACTAAGCTCTAGTTTAAAATTTACAGTGATATTGCAGCGGAAAAACATGTAGATGGAAATACATATTTTTCTTTTGTTAGTTCAGTTTTGCAAAGTTAATATGATTTAAAAAAATGTCTAGGTTCATCGCTCTATCTGATAGTATCGGTCGATTGCGGCTACGCCAGTGCGGAATTAAAAAAAAAACATAATTAGTAGCCTATGTTTTCTGTCGAACTATGTTCTAGATCTATGCCAAATTCCGCCGAGATACGTTTAGCCGTTCTAGAGATAGCTGCTTACAAACATTCGTGCATCCATCTAAACATTTGCATTTATAATATTAGTCAGATAAATTTATATTACGTTCATTTGTTATGTCATCTACACTTTGGATGCATAAAAAATGCAAAATTACCTGTAAATTCTGCTTTGCCAAAGAATTGTCCAAATTAAACTTGTTTATTATCTTATGCAAATGTATGGCTTTTTAGTAATTAACAAAGTAATTTTGGGTCAATTATAGCGTTCTCGCAATAGATTTGCATTCGTTATCAAACCCAAAACATATTAAGCGAGATAAATTGGTGAGATATAAGTAATAAATATAGTCATGTTATTCGTTTTTGGCTCTCCAATTGAAAGGATTCGCGTCGGGCCAAACAAAGGCCGTACGAATAGAAACCGCACCCATGACTCATCTCACAATACACCAGTTATGCAAATGCGGTAACGCCATATAGATACTCCTCCGCTCTTGGTTGTTAGATAGCACAAGTTAAAAGCGAAAAGCGTTTATAATGATTCATACTTTTATACAGTATAAGTTAGAATCATTTCGCGAGAATGACGTGCTTTCGTTACAAAGTCCAGTGTCAGAATGTTTAGTGAGGGGACATAAACGTCGACATTTTAGTGAGGCTAGTGTTGCGTTAGTACACCGGCACAGTGTCGTATTTTCTTCCTAACATTACTAAGAATTAAATGTCATACAAGGTAAAGTAACGACTCGGTATGTCACCATGGCAACGACTATTTAACTTTAGTATACGCATTTTGTTTGTGACCGTTATCATTAACTAGATGTCCGAATAGAATAAAAAATAGTAACCTATCTGTTCTTCCATACTAAGTTTTACATCTGTGCCAAATTTCAGCGAGATTCATGTAGCCGTTCTGGTGATACCTTCTAACAAACATCCATATAATAAAACATTCGCATTTATAATATAAGTAAGATATCTTTGAAGCAGTAATAATTGGTTTAATTTCCGAATGAAGCAACCTTCGTTAGTAAAGTTATAATTAGTTCTATTTAAACATTGCGTTAAGTTAATCTCTTAATTAAAACCGCTGTGAAATAAGGTATCAGTAAACAACTCGACCTATAACCGGTAATTATTACTCTTTGACGATATAATTACTATTATTAAAGGTCAATGTACTTGAGGACAGTTATATTCTTATTAGCTTTTATATATACGACAGTTTTTATCAATAATTTGTATTTTTTTATATTTTATACCTACTCATTGAAAAACGTTTTTAACACAGAATGAGATGGGTATATGTGTTAAATTGTACAGTTATTTTTATTGTAAAAGGTGTAAAACGAGCAAGCAAGTTGAATTCGTTGAAATAGCGAAAAGACCGTTATCTACCTTTAATTGACAGAGGAGGTGATGTACAGTAAGATTATAATTCCTCATACTAATCCCGCAACCTTATCATCCCTTAATTATAAGAAAAGAGTGCGAAGTGGAAGAGGACTAAAATAAGGCTTGCGACACGCACATTCGTTAGACGACACGTGGTATAACTTTTAAGCCTGTTATTTGTATGGCCGTGGTATTTCACGTGTCGAGCCGGCCTATTTATGCAGCTGATAACATTGCGGTCTCTGCCACCATTGTGAGGTCCCTAATTGTGTTTCAATCTTTTCCTCAACAAGATATGACGATATTTAATGTTATGCTAAAAGGTTTATACTGACATCTCAATATCTCTTTTAAGTTGTACCACA